ACGGTGATGACCAGGATGACGACATGGAGATGTGTGCGGCCTCAGTAGAAGCCAACAATGAAGATTCTTCAAAGGAGGCTGAATCATGTGAGAATTCTCCACAACCGGCCTCCGACTCGCAGAACAATCCAGATGTTCCAGAATCAAAAGCCTCTAACGAAAATGATTTGAAAGCATCGGGGTCAGAAGAGCCTTTAGTAGACGACAGCTCAAAGAAGGGAACCGAGGATGACACTGAGATTGTGCCCATGGACTGCAGTTCCCCCACGATGGAACATAGCAACAGTCCGAAGGAGGGGGACGCCTCAGCCGCGGCAGAGCCTCCTGCTTCTGAAAGCCAAGTCGCCAAGGACGAAAGTGGCAAGGACCAACGGGAAAAGAGCCGGGAGAGGGAAAGGAGCCGGGGGAGAGAAAGGAGCAAGGATAGAGAAAGAAGCCAGGAGAAGAAAAATGGCAAGCAGCGGCGCTCTCGCTTCCACTCCCCATCCAAGGCCTGGTCACCAAAGAGGGAATCAAAACGAGAAGGGTCCAGGCGATCGCGCTCCCGCTCCAGAGAGCGAGACGGCAGCCCGCCTTCTAGCCGCTCATCCCGGGCCCGCAGCAGAGAAAGAGACCGAGACCGGGACGGTGAGAGAGACCGAGACCGGGACGGTGAGAGAGGAGACCGGGACGGTGAGAGAGGAGACCGGGACGGTGAGAGAGACCGAGACCGGGACGGTGAGAGAGACCAGTCTCGGAGGGAGCGCAGCCGTGAGAGGAGGAGGCGGCGCTCCAAGAGTCGATCCAGGTCCAGCTCTCAGTCCAGATCACGATCCTACAGACGAGGGGCCAGCCCCGAGCGGCCGGCCTCCAGAGAGCAGTCTCCCCAGAGGAGGGAGCGTAGGGGCGGCTGGAGGTCAGGGCAGGGCAACGGGTCCGGGGGCGAGGGACGGAGGAATCAGAGCGACGCTGGGCAGGCTGAAAATGGCGTGCCGGCAGAAAGTTCCCCTGAGCGCAAACCCTGGTCGGAAAATCCTGACTGGGTTACAGAAAAGAGTCGGAGTGATGCCGAAAGCAAGAGTGGGGGCTCACGCTGGGAGGACCGTGGCGGGAACAGAGGGTCCCGGGGCGCAGGCCGGGGGGGAGGCAACCGCAGCTTCAACAATTCAGGGACTGACGCATACAGCCGCTTCAACGAAAACCGGGGCGGTGGCCGGAGGAAAGAGTCCGATTCCGGAGACTCGATGCTCGACCGCTCAGGCTGGTCGTCGGCATCCAGCTGGGCGGTCAGAAGGAAACTACCCGCTGACGTTCAGGATTATTACTCCAAGAGGGAGAGGGGAGGACCAGGAGGCTGGAACCGACAGGAGGAGGAGCAGCCAGGGGCAGCAGCAGGTCAGACACAGTTTCTGTGACAACTACTTCTTTATCTCAAACACTAGTGCTTGAGGAAATGAAAATGTAAAAGAGAAAGTAATGAGTCAGTTAAAGTTCCCTCTTTTCTCTGAACAGTGGTCATGGATTAATGTTCTCTTTGAGGCTAGCAGAGGAAGATATTGGTGCTGTAGCTCAGAACTGTGAACAGGCATAAACCTAGATTACCCTCCGGCATCCACGTATTATTATATTTGAGAAGAAATAACTATTTATTTATTCCTTTTTAACATTGCGTTCACACCTGCCTTGTATAGTCCGGTTGAATCGAACCCTGGTGCGTTTAGCCGCTTGGTGCGGTTCATTTGGGTCGGTGTGAACACAACCCGAGACCTCTTAAGTGAACTAAACAACCGGACTCTGGTCCGCTAAAATAGGTGTTCTCGGAGCGCTTGCTTGCGAACTCTGGAGCGGTTCATTGCTGGTGTGAACGCAGTCCGCACCAAAACATAGGAAGCGTAGTATTTACGTGTGCCAAGAACGCGGATATCTTCAACATATTTAGCGAAAGAGTCTTTTAAGACATCCGCGGTTGTTTAGTTAAAGAGTAAAGCAGAATTAAGTGTTGAACAGTGTCGTGTAAAGTAAAAATTCTCCGTCAGCTACATAAAAGTAAGAACACCTGTCGTCGGTGAAACGCCCCTCCTTACCGCAGAACGTCTCTCATGAACAAGAACATGCCGATCTAGATCCCTCCGCTTCGCGCTGGGCTCCTGATCAGCCTGTCGGTGTTATTTTCCCCATAATGACCGCGCCGCTGCACATTATCCCGCTTATTACATGGCCACATTCTCAACAAAGTAACGACATGACTCCCAATATGAATTGAAATGCTTTTGTGGAATTAGAAAATGATTTCAACTGTCGTCTGGTGCGCACCAGAAAACGGACTATTAGGTGTGAATGCACCCTGAGACTCTCAATAGTTTTCTCTAAGGCTAGCAGTTTACATAACCTTTTATTTTGAGCCTGTATCTCCTACACATTTCACTCATTATGAACTCATCTTTATCTCTCCATACATACCTTAGTACTTTAAATCATTTTAGTTTTCCATTAAATTGATAATATGTTCTCAATATAGTTTTCTCTTGTTCTCCAGATGCGACTAAAAGCGATCCTCCCTCCCAGGCGGTCCCGGGTAACGCCCCGGGGCCCGTGATGAACTCGGGTCCTCCTCAGCTCAACGTCCTGCAGCATCACTTCCCCCAGCAGGGCCAGAGGGGGGTGCCGCCCGTCAGCCTGCAGCCTGCAGCAGGGTACGCCATGCCTCCTCAGTACCCCGCCGTACCGCTGCTTCAGGGCCCCTCTGCCGGCGTTCAAGGCCTCCCCCCTCCTCCCCCACCTCCTCCACCCATGCATCAAGGCAGCCAGGGTGCAGCAGCTCATCCCGATGGCTACAACACACAGGTATGACATACTGGTAATTAGTGCTGCACGATTCTTGCTCGAATGTGAATCATGATTTTCCTCCCTAAGAATTGAGATCACGATTCTCGTCGTTTCAATGAAAATATTTATTGCACTCTTACTCTTAGACGTCACGTGAGTACAATGAATTTAAACAGACAACATACTTTGCAGTAGCACCTGTCCAAAGTGGACACCCAACTACTGTACAACAACACCAACCTGTTTGTTACAGGGAAGAATACACTTAAGTTACTCAAAATACCTCACCACAGTGCTGAATATAAAAACAAAACAGTCACAGCTTTAGAATAATAATATAGAAAAAAGCCTAGCCGGCTAGCACCCAGTTCAACTACTGCACTTAAAGGTTCTTGTACTGAAAAAAACATAAACCTTAAACAAAGTGCTAGACTCCACTGAGTAGTAATGTCACTGAATCAAAAGGATTAACTTAAATACTGCAGTCAGTACTGAATATAAAAACGGAACAGAACATAAAGTTACAGCTTCAGAATAAATGTAAATAAAGCCTAGCTGCCTAGCTACTAGCACAGTCCCTCTACTGCACTTTAAGATTCTTGGCTAAGAACACCAACATGTCGACATTCTGAGGTTTCAGGGAGGAACGCTGGCAAGTTACAATGTTCCCCCCTGTACTGAAAGCCTCAGAATGTCGACATGTTGGTGTTCTTAGCCAAGAATCTTAAAGTGCANATGCCAGAAAGATAAACACTGACCTGCAATCCGTGTGAATTTGACACAGTTGTATATGTTGTTCACATTAAAAGTCTGCAACCCGCATAGCTGATTTCACTTTTTCTGGTGTTGTTCACTACCAATTAAGCTTTATGAAAGGTTGATTGAAAGCAGTAGTTGCTGACTTTACAAGCTTTATATGGAGTTTCAGCACATTGCTTAGCTGCCTGTCACAGAACTTGACTGATGTGGTTCACGATCATAGTGGTTTCAGCAGCTTCAGGAAATAGATTTCTAAATAGCCACAGCACACTACCTGAAAAAAGCTAAACAAAGCAGCTTACAGACAGATATTTTTGACAAAAAACAAATAAACTAGTCAGAAACTCCAATTAAAAAATGTCTCTCTCGCTGCTGGGTGTGTAGAAGAGCGTCTGCTAGCGAGTTAGCCACAGCTATTAACGTGGTGAAGTGATTTCTACACGGCCACAAAGGGATGTTGGGTTTCTTTTACATGTCTGTATCTAAAGTAATATTATTCACTAGAAATAGAGCTCCAGGGTTCCCATGCCTTAATAAACATACAATTCAAGGAATTTCAAGGGCTTGTTCTCTCAAATTCAAGAACCTAGCATGGCATGGTTAAAGACACGAATTAGGACTGCAACACTGAACGTTTTTATAATTAGAACTAGCAGGATTTTACAGAAGCTTGCAGAAAAAATATATCAAGATCACTTCCAATCTGTGTTCTTGAGACATTCATGAACTTTCAATGATCTCAAAAACATTCAAGGCATTGCTTTCATTCAAATTCACACAATTTTAAGGATCTGTGGGAAAGATAGTTTAGTTGCAAGCCATTAGAGTAGGGTTGTGAAATGTTCAAATGTGTAGTATGGGTCCCCAGCACATAGAACCTACTAGCTGCTAACTAGCATATGATGGGCAATTGTTGCATAGTTAGCACAAGTTGTGACCATTAGCATAAATTACCATTATAGCGTATGGGGAAAGTAGTTCAAAAATGGCTTGGCCGATTTGGACAATTTTGGGGGTTATTGAGTCCATTTCTGCCATTTGCAGAATAAAATAAATGCAGTTTTAACCAGAAAGTGGTCATATTTGTACTCTCGGTGGGCTGATTTTGACTACAATGACTAGTGTTGCGGCCATCGGCTATAGAGAGCACAAAATGAAAATGATTGCCTCTAATGTGGACAATTATTTTTCAAATAAATAGGCAATCTGACCAATCGAGCACCCTAAATCGTCAAAATCGACCCAGAATTCATCAAAATCAGGCCACCGGGAGTACAAATGCTAGACTATAAGTCTGCTGTACATCCGATCACTTGATGTCTGGTAACAATTGATATTTTGAACAGGGGATTCATGGGAAGAGTCAAGCAGAACCATGACAGAAACAAGGATGGAGATTAAAATGTAGCCTAAGCCTCTCACAAACACACAGCAGATCAGGAAGCAGCTAATTTATTTCACTACTTTCTGGATACGTTGCACAGTTCATGTTCACCCATTGACATTTCATACATATTCAGGCAGGGGGAAAGGTTCATTTCAGTTGATCTGTCCCCCTTTCTGGGATCTGTTCCTTACATTACAAACTCACTGGTGATCAGCCGTCCCACTTAGTGTCTCGCCAGCCAATCAGGGCCCTGATTACAATCACATGAATCAGACTCCGGCCCAAAACGGGGCCACAGAATCATGAAGGCAATGCACTGTTCTTTAAACTAGGAATTCATCTGAAATATTATATAATATTTAAAAAAAGAACATTGACAATATTCAATTAATTAAGCTATGCGATTAAGATGCCATTCAGGAGGAACTCATCGTACCAGCCGGCACTCAAGGAGAGCCCCCCATGCTACCCTGCGCTCTTTACAGTAGTTCCCCAGTCACATGATCTATGCAAAATAAAGGGCTCTTGCAGTACAATTTCTGATTGGGTAATTATTTTTCTAACAAAATATCAAAATCTATAGAAAAAAATCTTCATCGTTCAATAAAAGGTAGAGATATCAAAAAAGAAAAGGTCGGCTCTCCGTTGTCTTTTATTTTGGAGACCCAATTCCAGCCAGAGGAAATTGCACTTGAGCAGCTGAGTGTCTGTGAGGACGTCTGCGCGCCGCAGCGGGACCACCCTCATTTCTTGCGGGCGTGTTTGTATTTGTCCACGTAGGCCTTCACCAGGATGGCCACCTTACTGGAGTTCACCTCACCACTCTTGCTGTGGCACACCTGAGGAAAGATCACAGACACGCTCAAAACAAATCCTGTAAAGCTTGAGTCTCTATCGTTTTACGTCCCAATTCAATAGGATGGGCCATGAGGGGTTCTGTTTGGTCTTTCCAAAAGAAGTGCATTATCTAAAGGCTTTTTAAGAATCCAGTAGTGATACATTTGAAAAACACATCCCTTAGCCTCGTCTCTAGCGTAAACAAAGTATGTGAGTATGAGTATATTCTTTTTTAATTAAACACAATATAACATGTATAAGAAATTCTCAGTGAAGCTTGTACCTTCTCTACCGCTTTACGGACGATCTCCTTGTACTCATCCTTGTTGATTTCATTCTTTTGGTAATAGGGTTTGATGGCGTTTTTCACTTCATTGACAGCTCTTTCCTGGATCTGTTGTTTCTAAAACAAAGAGAGGAGATCAGGTATTTCGCACAGAAAGAGAAACAGGTGTTTGTGTTCGGCCGACAGTAGGTTACCTTCTCTTTTTTGGAGCTGTCAGCATGAGCCTTGCTGTGCTGGCCGGTGTAAGTGGTGGAGGAGGGATACACCTGGCTGGGTGCCGACTGGCAGTAGGTCGCTAAGGAAACACCAGCTTTGGTTGGGGTGGGAAGTAGGCCAGGTTTCCCATAACCCATTGTACTTGCCATCTAGGGATGAAATGACAGAAGAATGATTGTGAGAATGCTCTTAAGAACAAAATTTGTGTCTATTAATGTACATTGCCAGTAGTGCTGCACGATTAATCGAAAAAAGATCGTGACCTCGATTCAGACACCTATGCGATCTCATTTCTAAATTACGGCGATCCTATGACGTCATTCTGATTTTTTTTTTTTTTTTTTGCTTCTGAATAATACCAACTTGCAATGTCAATCACACTTAAACGATGTAAAGCAAATATACTCTATACATTTAACATTAAAGTACCATGATCGCATGCAAATGGTAGTGTTCTGTCTGTCTCTCCTCCTCTCATGCAGTGTTTACTCTGCAGCCACTAGTGTTGCCAGTTTTTGCGGAAGGAATAAGCAACCAGGTCTATGAAAACAAGCGCAAAAGAACATGAGCACTTTAAACCTATATATGTCGGGTCGGCTATTTGAAAATAACCTATCTACAAGCTCACAACCGTAACAACCATTATTACTTACTACCAAGCAACTTTACAGAAAGATAAGCCCAATGTGGCTTATAATAAGTATACCTGGCAACACTCACTGACTGCAGCACGTGAGGGCAGGAGCCGGCAGTATGTTTACAGAAGCGTTAGCATTAGCACTGATTAGCAAAGACTGACGAGAGCGACTAGTAGTACAAGAAAAACAGAAATGAGTGACACAGAAATGAGTGACTTCAGAAAGGGCTTTCAGTACAGGGGGGAACATTGTAACTTGCCAGCGTTCCTCCCTGAAACCTCAGAATGTCGACATGTTGGTGTTCTGCACCACAAGTGCAGTAGATGGACTGTGCTAGTAGCTAGGCAGCTAGGCTTTATTTAATTTATTCTGAAGCTGTAACTTTATGTTCTGTTCCGTTTTTATATTCAGTACTGACTGCAGTATTTAAGTTAATCCTTTTGATTCAGTGACATTACTACTCAGTGGTCTACCACTTTGTTTAAGTTTATGTTTTTTTCAGTACAAGAACCTTTAAATGCAGTAGTTGAACTGGGTGCTAGCCGGCTAGGCTTTTTTTAATATTATTATTCTAAAGTTTACATTTTGTTATTATAAAGCTGCAAAAATTCTATTTTTTTATGTTCAGCACTCAGGCAGCAGCAATATCTTTATTTTAGTTACTGTATGTTTTGTTACGAGAGAGACTTGAGTTTAAGTCAAGCACTTTGTTTAAAGCCACAGTAGTTGGCTGTCAAATTCATTTTAGTTACTCTAAGTTTTTGCTACAAGAAACTGAGACTTGGATTTAAGTCAAGCACTTTGATGTTGATGGTGTTTGTTTAAAGCCACAATAGTTGGCTCCAGGTGCCACATTTTGAATGTAGTAATGTTTGTTCAGTATTCAGCAACTACAGACTAAAGACAAAGTTATGTTTTTGTTACAAGAGAGACAAAATGTTGTCTGTTTAAATTCATTGTAATCAAGTGACGTTTAAGAGTAAGAGTGCAATAAATATTTTTCATTGAAACGATGAGAATCGTGATCTCAATCGTGATCTCAATTCTTATGGAGGAAAATCGTGATTCACATTTGAGCAAGAATCGTGCAGCACTAGCGGTTACTAGGTCAAAACTGAAATAATTTGAATTTTGATAATCTGATTTACTGTATATTGGTCACGGGTTAGACTTTAACCCCACAAATGTGAAGTCACATA